TGAGTCTGCATATTGTAGGAGTCTTAAGCTGGAATGTGGGACGTTTTCAAATAAGGCTTTGTAGGTGCCGTGCAGATTTCAGGTTGTACCACGACCATTTGAGAAGAATAAACAAAAAAATGGTTGATTCCCCATCTTAATAATTTTTACTTGCTTGCTTTTTCTTATGAGCTAACATAGCAACATTCTTTTTTGTATGACAATCAAAGTTTGTCATGGACCTACTATTCACTACAGATTATACTTTTATTCCACAAACTCTACATTTTGTAGGGTACGAAAGCACATGAACAAAGCCTTTGTGCACACAGTTCAAACATGTGGGAACCACATGCGCAATTCTGCTCCCTCTCCACAAATCAATTGTACATTATTGGTAGACTGTGGGAAAAGGTTTCAGTGTTGTTTGTTTGTTTGTTTGTTTGTTTGTTTGTTTGTTTGTTTGTTTTAGAAAACTCTATAGTTTTTCATATTGGGAAAACTCCCACACAGATATATTTGGGTCTAGCTTACGCTTTCTAATTGTGACCATTCCTTTCTAGCAGCAATGGTCACAAGCAGTTGTGATTTTGAGACCAGTGCATCAGGTCTTTGAAGTGTGCTTTAAGAACTGATTCAAGTCTAGCCCAGCTGGGAGTTAATATATAATTTGTTTCCCTTTCATTGCCCGAATTAGTATGTTGTGTTATAATGTTGAAGATGATAGAGGTTCAGACACCACTGTGCACCAGCAGCTGAAGTTTGAGCTATACAGGTACAATATATTTTATGCTGAAGACAAGAATAGAATTAATGGATCTATTCATTTGAAATAATAGGGCAGAATACTCAATGGAAAATCTTTAAGATCAACCTATATATAGAATGCCTTCTACTATTAAAGTTCATTTTGATTGCTAGCAGAAGTTGTTCTACAGATGCATCATGGGGACTATGCAAGTAAAATGTGAATTCAAACTGTGTAAACTGTGATGTGGACAAGCCAACAAATTAGAAAATAGAGATGAAGCAATTGATGGTGGGGAACTAGACTCTAGCAGCAGAACACCTTTTATAGGCTCAGTTATTAGCTATATTATGGACGCGGGGCGGCGCTGTGGGTTAAACCACAGAGCCTAGGACTTGCCGATCAGAAGGTCAGCAGTTCGAATCCCTGTGACGGGGTGAGCTCCCGTTGCTCGCTCCCTGCTCCTGCCAACCTAGCAGTTCAAAAGCATGTCAAAGTGCAAGTAGATAAATAGGTACCACTCCGGCGGGAAGGTAAACGGCGTTTCCGTGTGCTGCTCTGGTTCGCCAGAAGCGGCTTAGTCATGCTGGCCACATGACCCGGAAGCTGTACGCCAGCTCCCTCAGCCAATAAAGCGAGATGAGCACCGCAACCCCAGAGTCGGTCACGAGTGGACCTAATGGTCAGGGGTCCCTTTACCTTTACCTTTTATTAGCAATATACTTACTGTTAGAGGCCACCCCAATCTCTGCAAGATTACAGGGGTCTGGGCACTTAACCAGGGTTTGCGTTCCTTTAGAATGAGGCACAGTGGATACTATGGTGTCTTTAAGAAATATGGTTTATTTACACATATTTACATCTGAGTTTTATGGAAGGAATGCAGAACATTACACCCCAAGAGTGTCTCTTGTTGCTCCTTTAATAACTTCAGCAAGCTTGGGTCTAGAGCAGAAGCCAGCCATGCTTTTACTAAATTAAGAATTGTGGGACCTGCAGCCCACAACTCATAGTGTTATGTTCATTAAAGTCATTCATTGAGGGCTCATCTTGTGTTTATTTAATCTCCTTCCATTACACATTCAACATCTTTCTCGGTCTTGGGTTCTACTTTTGTGTTTTGTCATGTTTATTGGTATCCGTCTGTCTCGGGAGAGAAGGAAGAAGTAACCCTCTAATTTCTCTTTCCTTTACAACTGAGAATGCCACTGTGATGGTTTTCTTTAGTTATGGTTTTGGTCCTTAGCAATACATCATTGGAGCCAAATCTCTTGTGGTGTGGAAAAGCATTGAGTTAGTTGTCCTGGAATGCTAATGCTGTGCATATGCTGCAATCTGAGGTTGCTACAATGGAATGAATTGTGAAGGAATTAAAACAGTGGGGCAAAATCTATTTGTTGTTGTTTAGTCGTTTGGTCGTGTCCGACTCTTCGTTACCCCATGGACCAGAGCACGCCAGGCACTCCTGTCTTCCACTCCCACAGTTTGGTCAAACTCATGCTGGTAGCTTCGATAACACTGTCCAACCATCTCATCCTCTGTCGTCCCCTTCTCCTTGTGCCCCCAATCTTTCCCAACATCAGGGTCTTTTCCAGGGAGTCTTCTCTTCTCATGAGGTGGCCAAAGTATTGGAGCCTCAGCTTCAGGATCTGTCCTTCCAGTGAGCACTCAGGGCTGATTTCCTTAAGAATGGATAGGCAAAATCTATTGTGATGTGCTATTTGCCTTTTTATGCTGTATGTAGATCCCTGCCCCAATGCTATTTTCTGTTTGCAGCCTTTGTTGCTTCTGTTGTGTGTATGCCACTGTCCTGATGTAAGTTCCCTTTCTGCCACAATGCCATACACCAAATTCCTTTTTGTGTTTTGAAGAAGTGCCAATTTTCCCCACAGCTTCTAAGCTAACTACTGCACCATTCATTGGTTAATGTTTACTTCCTGCTTCAGCAAACCAGATCACAACACAGGAATGATGTCAGTACTCTGAGCTGAAACAGATCAAAAGTTGCATATAAGAAACAGAAGCCAACCAGAATAATACAACATCCCTTTTAAATTAAGGCTATGTGAATGATAAACAGCAGATAGATATAAGATACAGAAAAAGTAGTTTTAGAAGCCCTAGAAAATTAACATTAATTGTTACCATAACATTGTAACTTGCTCTTTGAAGATTTAATGAAATTGCCATTGTGTTCTATATTAAGATGTGAAAGACAGCAACTTAATAAATTATCTGGTGGATTGCTTTTTTCACCTGTGTGTGATGACTATTATTTCTGCTATGAAGAGCAGATTAATCATTTCTATATCTTCTAAGTCTGCATGTTTTGGAGACAGTGGGCGCCTCCTCACTGTCCCTATTTTGTGGAAGTGGTTCATGTGCCAACCAGAAATTTAGGTCTGTGTAATTAAAATGGATTAAAGTACTCTGTCCTGCTAGTGTAACAATCCCACCTAAAAAACCCAGACTTTATGCAGATAAAAAAGTGATGGGGAAATCCTCTGAAAAGTGTGGGATGAACTATTGAGTGTTAATCTGTCTACTTGCCCAGAGGATACAAACATGCCCTTAACCTGCTTTTTAGATGTTACATTTGATAGTCCGTTTAAACAATCTGAAGAAATCGAAACTTTTTTAAAAGTTATTGCAGCTAACTGAATACAGTAATGCTAGCAGAGGAATAACTTTCCAGACATACACTGTAATTTGTAACAATAATCCTCAAAGGCCTTAATCTCAAAAGACTTCTATTCATGAGTTCGGACTTTTACTTCATAAGAACGTCAATTTATCAATTAAGCACATCTGCTTCACAAGCAAAACAAGGTGTAATATTTCAAAGTACAAATGCCTCTTTCAACAGAATCTCTCAACGTTTTATTCATCAACAATTACCTGAGATGTGGATTTCAAAGAACATATTTTCTTTATCTTATATCTGCATACTTTCATAACCGCCATGACTTTATATAAATGTATCATTGGAAACAATGAACAAAGGAGAGAAATGTAGCAAACTTTCATTCCATATATGGAAGGCTGAAAATATGCTCCTAAAACTGATATATATTTGAAATCAGCAAGATGAAAATTATGCTTATTGATGGAGGAACAATCGGAGGGTATGAGACTTGTTTGCCCTTTGTTACCAAAACCCACATTTCAGTATTGAAAAAACTCCTAAAAACAGCAGAGTTGAAGTTCATAGGAAAGCTGAATGTGAATACTGGTGGCCACAGACTGACACCCTGTCATTTTTTATTGTGCTGACCCCAAACATTAGAAAGACGTTTGATACATTCCTCACTTTTAATTGAGGCCAGATCACCCATCGCTTAATTTCATTGGATCTCTCACTCACTATATTTTGCTCAATATATTAAAGTTCAGGGGAACACAGAAAGCTGCCTCGTACCAAGTCAGACTATTGGTCCATCTAGTTCAGTATCCTCCACACTGACTGGCAGAAGCACAGCCACAGAACTGGGCTCTTTGGCATGCAAAGCACATGCTCTAACCCTGAGCTACAGCCCTTCCCCATGCCCTTTGACACAAATTGAAAGGAATCTTGATGAAGCTTACTTGGGGGTAAATGTACACATCAAAACTCCTTGAAAGGGGTTTGCACAGAACCAAGAGGAGGGGTGGGTGGCAAAAAGCCTCAAAGGAAACAAACAGGTTTAAAAGGAAACCAGAGGGTCTTGGCTGATCTTACGGAAATACAGTATTTTAATGCTCCTGTGACCAAATAAATCCAATTCGAAACCTGACCTCAGATAGACAGTTGCTGCACATGGAGGTTCTACTTTTAACAAACAATTTGCATTTACTGGAAGGAACGCTCATTTTCCCTTTGGTCATACAGTCATAATATTTAATAGGATTCCTTTGTATTCGAATGATATATTGCCTACTTTTTATGCCCTTTATCAATAAATGTGTTGAGGTGCTTTTGTTTGTATATATGTACGTATGTATGTACACTGACACGCATCCGTGTTAGCGTACATACGTGCCAAACTGGGTCTTTGACCCGGGTGACAGAAAGCCTAGTTTCTGCCCTGCCCTGAGGAACGATGATCTTCATTTTGCCTCCCTTGCCTTGGCCCAAGGACTAGTTCTGAGTCTGTATTCTGAGAGTCAGCATGCGCCACGAAGGATTCCTTCAGGAGAAACGCGGGTCCTCCTCGGGCGGAGGCGTGGCGGGCGGGGGGCGGCGTTTTTGAACCTATGCTAATTCCGCTGCTGGGCCCGGAGGAAGAGCCCCGAGGTCTCGCCAGCCCGGCAGCAGCGCTCGGCGGCGAGGGTGGGGAGGGGGAGGCCGGGCGGGGCGAGTCTTAAAGGGCCCGAGCATGCCGCTGCTTTTGTGACAGGGTCCTTTGATCCCGAGGAGCCGCGCCGCCTCCGGCTGAGGCAGGCAGTTGTCGCCGGGCGGAGAGGAGGAGGAGGAGGAAGACATGCGCCCGTTGCCACCATGGAGATAAAAGACACGGGCAGCGTGGTCCTGACAGCCTACCACTCTTACACCCCAGCCCGGCTGGAGCCCAGCTTCGCTCCGGAGAGCCCCCCCAGCCGGTCGCCTCTCAGGTAAAAGGAAGCGCGCGGGGAGCTGGCGAGGGGCGCGCGGGGCTCGGCCAGCTTTTGTCTCGAGGTCAGTCATTGTGTGCGCGCGCGCGAGAGAGAGAGAGGCAGACAGACAGACAGGAGAGCGCGTGAGGGTCGCCCTCAGACACGCTCCTTCTCCCGTCCCTGCTTTTCTCCTCGTTTTCTTACGAGGCGCCGAGGAAGTCTCCCTTCCTCTTCCCGATGCAGTTTTGGCTGCGCCCTTGACCAGACGCGCGTCGAGGGAGCGGGAGGGAGGGAGGGAGGCAGGGAGACGGGTTGGCGAAAGGTCTTCCCTTTAAAGTCTCCGGAGAGCTGCGGATCAAGTTTGTTTGCTGGCCGAGATGAGCGTCCAGATAACCTGCCGAGAAGCAGCGAGGGAACGAAGCGGGAGGGAAAGAGAGCGGGGAATGGTCGCTTATGGACGAGACGCACCGGGGAAGAGTCAGCTGACAGCCAGAGCCGGCTTCATAGGCAAACTTGAGCAGTTTCCCCTTCTCCTCAGTTTATATATAAACTCACAGAATCAGAAGGGACCCTGAGGAATTTTTCGCCCAACGTAGGGCTCGAACCTGCGACCCTCAGATTAAGAGTCTCGTGCTGAGCTATCCCAGTGTAATCCTAGGCATGGCTACTCAGAAACTGAGTCGGCCCGAATTCTGTGGGGCTTTTAGCTAAAGTGGACACAGGATTGCAGCCTAGGTGATTTATTTATTTCTTTGGAGCAGGGTTATTTATTATCATTGCACACCCTTTGGTTTTTAGATATCTGCTGATAGTATATGAAATGCCTAACCCATCTCATCCCAAGGGCAGGTCACAATAATTCATGCAAGGCAGAAACAAGATTGAGCAGAAACAAGGATATTTAATGTACATTAGAAAATATTTCTCACATACAGAAGGTCAGGAGAGATGACCATTACAAGAGTTTTCATCCAAACGCCAGCAATCCCCACAAGCAGGAATTTCACAATATGAAGTGTGCATCTTGCAGACATTCCTTGCATTTGTCCCAGATAAGTTTGCTGATAAAGGAAATTGTTTGGGTAACATCTTCCCTAGTGATACCTTTGGTCTTAGTGAAGCTGACCTTTCTTCTAAAGACCAGCCTGTTTTAGCTAATGTCAGCAAATGATATGTTTGTGGAAGTCTGTGAAGTTGGGGGGGGTGTCTTTTCCTGGAAATGGGAAGTTCTCCTGTTTTAGAAATGGAAAAAGTTAACATGCATACAATTAAGATATTAAAGCAATAGTCATATGCTGCATTCTTGGAACTTTAACAATGACCAGTGCACATATTATGGTAGCCAAACTAAGGGCATGCTACATTCTACATTACAGCCATCAGCAGGTGTCAGTTTAAGTTTAGAGGCCTACCATGTACATTGAACTATTTTCTCCACACTGCCACAAATGACCAAAGGTGTGCAGGTGTCATGGGGGCAATGAACAATATGCACAATGAATTGCTTTTTGTAAACAACTTGCCAGATAGTGTTTTAGTCCTATGTGAAATAATTTAAAACGTGGATAAGTAACATGTGGCCAAGGCTGGATTTAGAGCTGTGTGAGCAGTGTTCAGGTACTGGGCACTGAGATGAGGCAGCTGTCTGAGGCACTGCCTTTCCAAAAGTGAGTAAGGAGGTGTCTGGCTTTGGGAAGGAGGAAGGAGGGCTCTGGTAGGGTCCTAGAGCCCTCCTACCTACTTCCCAAAGCTGGGAAAGCGCTAACTAGGCTTGGCTTGGCTTTGGGAAGGCAGCACAACAGCTGGAGAGGGAGGGTGGATGCCAAATTTTGGCCTTCCACAGGGTGCCACGGTACCCAAGTCCACAACTGTTATGGCCCTCCAGATGTTGTTGGACCCTATTCCCATCAGCCTCAGGCAGCATGGCTGGTAGTCAGGTGTGATGGGTGTTGTAGCCTAACAGAGATGATGGGTGTTACAGCCACACATTTTCCATCTTGAACTGAAAGCAATTTCCATGCAGGTCATCATGTCATTGTCTACCAATCCAAAATTAGAAGAAACAGGCTGCAGACTATAATGTATGACAGTTTGGTACGGATTATAATTCTTCTGTGGTGTTTGTGAATGGCTTGTGGCACGTTGTCTCTGGGTTGTTGTTGTTTTGTTTCATTTCCCCATCTGGAACAGTAGTTGTGATATGTTTATAGGATACCCAAGTCCATAAACAGTCTTCTGTTTTATATTCATTTTTCAGCACAATTTTACTCAGAATTAAGGCCAACTGTGGTTAGTAGCATTCATTCATAGCATATTTGCTTAGGATTGCAGCCTGGAAATTGGCATTATAGTGATTGTATTAATTTACTCAAATTTCAAAAATATATTGTGGGTGTTAGCTGTTTTGTGGATCCAAGTTGTATGGAAAGGTAGGATAGAAATGAATTAAATATTTAAACATTTTGCATGAATGAGTGTCAGTGCGTGAAGGCCCTGGGATCAACGTAGGTTTGCTTTTTCTTTTCTTTCTTAATGTGATATCAAATGTATTAAAATGATAGGAGGAAATTTGAGGCCCACATCCCTAGCCCTAAGCCCAGTGGCCCTAGAATTTAGTGTGAGTGCTAACAGGGAAATATATATAGCCTCTGGTAGATTTCAATGAATGAATCAACTTGTAATTCCTTAGAACCTTGGACCTAATGAAACTAGTCAAAGTCCAGTCTATCCAGTCCACTTGTCATCTAGATAGTTTCACAGCAAAGATGGCACTGACGTTCAGTTATCTAGCAGTGTTTGTTGGGGAGAATGTTAAGTATTTTAATGCTGATGTTCATGTGTTTGGTTTGATTTATGGGACTTGAAATCTATGGGACTTGAGATATGCTTAATTTAGTGACCTTTTTAAAAATTATAAGGTTAGCCCATCTGGCAGTTGTGGGTTTTTTTGGGGGGGGGATAAAATGATGTTTGATATGCATAGTTGGCATCCCAAGTAATAAAAACAACACAGTAATGACTCATTGTTAAATTATTGCTGAAACCATCATTTCATTATCAGGGAGCAGAAAGAAAATGGCTTGGATCCAGAGCACTCAAGAGACACTCCTACTAGAGGAAGGGAGGAGATGATTTTTATTTTTATTTTTATTTTTGCTGAATCCTCCTTCACATTGCAGACCTTTGTGCCCACTGAAAAGTTGCTCTGGAGGAGTGTGGAAGGCAGAATAGGGAGCCACAGGTGAATCAGCAATACCCATTCCTCCAGTAGCAGCTTCCTCTGGATCTCATCCCCTTCCACAAATGGAAGGAGCCCTTCCATTCACAGAATGGACCCAGTAAATTTAAAAATACAACATTTCTGTTACTTAAACAAAAGAGTTATCTTGTGTCAATTCATGTTGCTTCTAACAATAGTTTCTAAACTTGCTTGAGTTCCAAACTCTGAAGTTGTGCCAGGAAAGAATACAAATAAGAACTACTATTTAGAAATATAAATGAAAACGTTAAGCTAATTTATAGGATATACATATGAACAGCAAGTTTCTTAAGCTCCTGTAATGTTTTACACACACACACACACACCCCTCTCCCAGTGAAGTTGCCCACTTCCTGCAGCTGTCTGGTTGCAGTAAGTGGTTTTTGCCATATGGGCAGTCAGAAACTCCATCTGTGTTTCCGAAGCTTGCTGTGGAAAGAGGTTGTATTACCTCAGCATGTGGTCCAGTGGAATGCAGAATGCATGAAAGAAAATGTACTAGTTGTTTTAGCAAAGGACAGAAAAGTCTGTGTTTGAATCCATGGCCTTTTTCCTTCTTCAAATTCTTTATAATAAGTATTGTTGTCATAATTATTCTCCGTTTTCTGTCTCCAGTTAGTACAGTGTGTTCAGTTTGGGTTCATTAAGACAGCAATCTGGAAATGGGGTTTCTGTAGCTAAAGATTTTTTTTAAAAAAAAAAACACCTACAGTTTTTCTTATGTTTAGTAATTGGACCTTGGAGTCTCATTCTACTTTGACCACTTTGATTATGCAGATGAAACATGCATATCAAATTAGTTGAATAATTTGTTATTTGTAAACCAAAATGATTTAAGTATATGGTATTATTTAGTACATTTTAAAGTGTAGAAATGAAGAATTTTAATTTATAAATTCAGTTTCTTGCTTTCATTAAAAAGCTAAAAAAATGAACAGCAAAGTTTAGTTTTAACATAGTATTGACAGACCTCATGGGGATACTTCACTCACCAACACACACACACACACACACACACACACACACACAGAGAGAGAGAGAGAGAGAGAGTCCACTAGAGCTAGCTATTTCCTCTTGTGTTGCACTAGTGTGGTGATTATGCAGGAAAATATACTTCTAATTTGTATGAAGTCCATTAACTGTTTTGATGTGATATGATATTATAAGGGTGGCTAACCCTTTTCCTGCAGGAGCTGCCTGCTAAAGTGGCTGTGGCCCAAATGGAAAAGTAGGACATGGTCATGGTGTAAAAGTGGGTGTGACTGTGGTGGAAAATTAATACCCTTTTCATTACATGCTGAATATATAGAATAAAGCATGGCTGTGGTTGTTTCTCCTTTGTGATTTTCCTGGTACTGAGGAAGTGACTACTTTTAGCTGGCATTCCAAAATTCAGTGGGTTCATCTTGTATGAAGTGGTTCTTTGCTTATACAGTGGTACCTTGGGTTACAGATGCTTCAGGTTACAGACGCTTCAGGTTACAGACTCCTCTAACCCAGAAATAGTACCTCGGGTTAAGAACTTTGCTTTAGGAAGAGAACAGAAACGGCGCAGTGGTGGCGTGGCGGCAGCAGGAGGCCCCATTAGCTAAAGTGGTACCTCAGGTTAAGAACAGTTTCAGGTTAAGAACGGACCTCCAGAACGAATTAAGTTCTTAACCCGAGGTACTACAGTACGCACATTGGAAAAACCTGTTCTTCCTGATAGGTGGTCCCAAATCTTAAGTGGGTGTTTCTTTTTTGTTGGAAAATTTCTCTG